TGCCTATTCTTGATATTTCATATAAATGGAATTACATACTGTGGGCTTTTGTGACTGGTTTATTTCATTTAGCATAATGTTTTGGGGTTCATCAATGTTGTAGTGTGTATTGGTACTTCATTCTCTCTTCTTTAAAAGTTTTTGTTTTTAATTGGTAGACTATTTTTAGAAGAGTATCAGGAGTATAATTACTTGAGCAGATAGTACAGAGAGTTCCCATATCCTCCTTCTCACTCCTGACCATCCTTTTTCCCATTGACATCCTGCATTGGTGTGGTGAATTTGTTTCAATTAATGAACCAATACTGATACATGATTATTAACTAAAGTTCATGGTTTATAGTAGGGTTCACTGTTTGTGTTGTACAGTTTTATGGGTTTGATAAATGTCTAATGCCATGTATCCATCAGTACAGTATCATACAGAACAGGGTTTTTAAAAAAATATATTTACTTTTTATTTATTTATTTTTTAATGTGGTATTGAGGATTGAACCCAGTGCCTCACATGTGTGAGGCAAGTGCTCTACTGCTGAGTTATTACTCCAGCCCCCAGAATAGTTTTTTATTAGTAGGTAAAGCACAGGGGATTTTTTAGAGCAGTCTTTCTCTCCTCCTCTCAAGCCTTAGCAACTGTGAATCAATCAATCAATCTCTCTCTCTCTCTCTCTCTCTCTCTCTCTCTCTCTCTCTCTCTCTCTCTCTCGTCACTATAGCTTTTCCTTTTTCCAGAATTTTATGTAATTGGAATCATACAATATGTAGTTATTTTAGAGGGGTTTCTTTCCCTAAGCAATATGTACACAAGCTTCCTCCATGTCTCTTCCTCCATGTCTCATAGTTATTTCTTTTTTTCCTCCTCCTCCTCCTCTTCTCTTTTCCCTTCCTTTTTTATTTGCAGTACTGAGGATTGAACCCAGGGGTACTTTTCCACTGAGATACATCCTCAGCCTTTTTATTTGTTTTATTTTGAGACAGGATCCCATTGAGTTGCTGAGACTGACTTTGAACTTGCAATCTTCTTGGTTAAGCCTCCTGAGTCACTGGGATTATAGACCTGTGCCACTGTGCTCAGTGTTCATTTCTTTTTAGAAATGAATAATATTCAATGGTGTGGATGTATACATTTCTTTGAATATATTAGATGCTTTCAAATTAGGGAAATTATACATAAAGTTGCCATAAATATTTGTGAGCAGATTTTTGTATACACATAACTTTTCAAGTGATTAGATAAATACCAATGAGCACAAAATGGGGTTGTATGTCAAGAGTATGTTTAACTTTGTAAGAAACTGCCAAAGTGTGTCCTAAAGTGTATGTACTATCTTGTATTCCCAGCAGCAATGACCAAGAGTTCCTTTTGCTCCACATCTTCTCCAGCATTTGATGTTGTCAGTTGTCTGGGTTTTCCCTTTCCCCTTTCTAATAAGGGAAAGTATAGTGCCATTTCATTATTGTTTCAATTTGTAATTCCCTAATGTCATATGATGTTGAGCATCTCTTTTTATGCTTATTTTCCATCTGCTTATCTTATTTGAAGTGATACCTACATAGATATTTGGCCCGTTTTTTAAAATTGGGTTGCCTGTTTTATTATTCTTGAAATTAAGTTATTTGTATGTTTTAGATACAAGACCTTTATCAAACAATGTTTTGAAAATTTCTCTCAGCCTACGGCTTCTGCTTTCATTCTCTTAACAGTGCCTTTTGTGGAATGTGAGTTTTTTCCTGCTAAATTCCAATTCTTTTTATGTTTAATATTCCATTATATAGATATACCATGTTTTCTTTACACTTTTATCACTTGTTGAACACTTGGGATGCTTCTTCTTGGGCTTTCCAACTAATGTTGTTATAAACATTTGTGTATAAGATTTGTTTGGAAATAAGTTTTCATTTCTCTTGATTAGATACTTTTTTAGAGGGATTGCAGAATCATATTATAACTTAAAGTCTAATGCTCAACTTTTCCAAAGTGGCTTACCATTTTACATTCACATGAGGTAGGAGGAGGGTTTCATTTTTTCCATATCCTCACTAACACTTGTTATTATCAGTATTTTTAAAATTAAATCCATTGTAGTGGGTATGAAGTAGTATCTTTTGTGGTTTGAATTGCATTTCCCTAATGACTCATGATGTTGAACATATTTTATTGTGATTATTGACCATTTGTATATCTTCTTTGTCTTTTCACTTCTAATATTTTCATCTATGGCAATATCATGGATGCCAAAATACCGTTGTACAGATGCTTTGCAATATTTACTTCCAAAAACTCTGACTTTTCTCCTGAGATGGTATAAGTTTCTCATCTGTTTATTAGACATTGACAACCTGATTGCACCTGAATTGTTTATTGTAACTGAAACTCATATATGCTTTCCTCCTGAGGTAATTAATCTTCCTCTACATGCTCTATATATGTTCATTATACTGCTATTCTTCTAATCAACCAAACTTAAAATTTAGCATTATATTTGGGCATAAGAGAAATGAAATAGGGAAGGGTTTATTTGTTGCCAAGTTCAACATTACTTCATGCTCAGGGATGCTTTATCACTGAGCCACATCCCCAGCCCTTTTAATTGTTTCAATTTTTATTTTCTAGGGCTGGCCTTGAACTTGTGATCCTCCTGCCTAAGCCTCCTGATTTGTTAGGATGACAGGTCTGTGCCATGGTGCCCAGCCCAGCATGACATTCTTGATTTCTTACCGTCTTGGTTCTCCTACCTCTGATCATCTTATAGCAAGTTATTTTTACTAAACCTCAAATGACCTACCACTTTTTTTTCATTCTCTTTTACAATAAATATATCTTCTTCCTTGGTTATTTTTCTGTAATCACAAGATTTGAACTATTACACATTTATTAACTTTTATATATATATACATATATATATATATATATATATATATATATATATATATATATATATATATATATATTTTAATTTTAGCCCTGAAAATCCTGAGAATTTCAGGCATATCTATCCAACTATCTGTAGGGCATCTTCATTTCACAGACTTGCTAAATTCAGTCTGTTCAACCTGAAATCTTTCCTCCCAACTACCTGCAAGCTTGCTTCTCCTCCTATAGTTCCAGGTGATAGCAACAGCATCTGTCTAAAGTTCTCAATATAGAAATCTGACCATCATTCCTTCTCCTTTCCTCTGCCCAAAGTCAAACACTCATAAAATCAGTTCTACATTTGCTCCATGCTATTTCTTTGTCCAGACTTTCACCTATCATTTAGACTATTTTAATGACCAACAATCTTGTCTTCCTATGTCTTATCTCTTACCATGATCATTCAAGCCCCTTCAATGCAATCCACTGACAAAAAGTTATTTTCCAAACTAAAAATGTGTTATGCTATGTCTTTGTAGTATGTTGTTTTTAAGTCCTTTGGGTATAAGCCAAGGAGCAGGATAGCTGGGTCAAATGGTGGTTCCATTCCAAGTTTTCCAAGGAATCTCCATGCTGCTTTCCATATTGGCTACACCAATTTGCAGTCCCACCAGCAATTTATGAGTGTACCTTTTCTCCTACATCCTCACCAACAGTTATTGTTGTTTGTATTCTTGATAGCTGCCATTTTGACTGGAGTGAGATGAAATCGTAGAGTAGTTTTGATCTGCATTTCTCTAATTGCTAGAGATGTTAAACATTTTTTTCATATGTTTGTTGATTGATTCTGTATGTTCTTCTGAGAAGGGTCTATTCAGTTCCTTGGCCCATTTATTGATTGGGCTATTTTTTTTTTTTTGGTGTTAAGGTTTTTGAGTGCTTTGTATATCTTGGAGATTAGTGCTCTATCTGATGTGCTTGTGGTAAAGATTTGCTCCCATTCTGTAGGCTCTCTATTCACCTCACTGATTGTTCCTTTTGCTGAGAAGAATCTTTTGGGTTTGGATCCATCCCATTTATTGATTCTTGGTTTTAATTCTTGCACTATAGGAGTCTTATTAAGGAAGTTGGGGCCTAAACCAACATGTTGGAGATTTGGGCCTACTTTTTCTTCCATTAGGCACAAGGTCTTTTGTTTAATTCCTAGGTCCTTGATCTACTTTGAGTTGAGTTTTGTGCATGATGAGAAATAGAGGTTTAATTTCATTTTGTTACATGTGGATTTCTACTTTTCCCAACACCATTTGTTGAAGTGGCTATCTTTTCTCCAATGTACATTTTTGTTTTTGTCTAATATAAGATAACTGTAGATATGTGAGTTAGTCTCTGTGTCCTCTATTCTGTACCATTGGTCTACAGGTCTATTTTGATGCCAATAGCATGCTGCTTTTGTTTATTAGAAACACAATTCACAATAGCTAAATCGTGGAACCAACACACATGTCCTTCAGTAGATGAATGGATGGGGAAACTTTGGTATATATACACAATGGAACATTACTAAGCATTAAAAGAGAATAAAAACATGGCATTTGAAGGTAAATGGATGGATAGTATAATGCTAATAAGTGAAGTAAGCCAATCCCAAAAAACCAAAGACCAAATGTTTTCTCTGTTAAGTGGATGCTGAACCATAAAGGGAGAGATGGGAGCATGGGAGGAATGGAGGAACTTTGGATAGGGCAAAGGGGAGGGAGGAGAAGAGAGGGGGCAATGGGGTAGGAATGATGGTGGAATGAGTTCAACATCATTACCCTAAGTCATGTATGAAGACACGAATGGTGTGAAAATACTTTGTGTACAATCAGTGACATGAAAAATTGTATTCTATATGTGTAATATGAAATGAATTATATTCTGCCATGTGTATAACTAATTAAAATAAATGAATAATTTAATTTAAAAAAATTAAAAAGAAGACCTTGGGGGGAGGCCAATGCCTCCTGCTAAGCTGATCTCTGCTGCCTTGAGGAGGAGACAGTGTCCCATGAAGGGTGTTCTTTCCATGATATTTGTCATGGTCCTGTTATTACTAGCACTTTTCTACAACCTGGATTCTTTTTTTTTTTTAATATTTATTTTTTAGTATTTGGAGGACACAACATCTTTGTTTGTACGTGGTGCTGAGGATCGAACCCGGGCCGCACGCATGCCAGGCGAGCGCGCTACCGCTTGAGCCACATCCCCAGCCCCTACAACCTGGATTCTTAAAAAAATTTATAGCATGAAAAAATTTTAAAGGAGGGACACTTGCTATGTATTGTTTGAACCATGAACTATGAATCATGCTTTAATTATTTTACACCATAGATACTTAGGTACTTTAAAACAATATAATAATGTAACATATTCAATTTTAATACATATGCTTACATTCATAATTATATATTTAATGTATCTTTGAAATATACATGGTGTCAAAATTCAATTCCTCTTCTCAAAAATATGTACTGGTTCCCACTAAATGAATAAACTTAAGTTTTTTGTTTGCTTAAAAAATTAGTTATGCCATTTCACTGCAAAGAACAAACAACAAAAACAACAATATAAAATAGAAAAATATTTATTATCTCTCTGGTGTGTATTTATTTTCTAAATGATATATTATAATCTTCTTAGGATGGCATATTGATCTGTTTTCTTCATACTTATTCAGCTTGTTCTCACATCACTCCCCTATCCCCACATTTTATCAGCCTTCAGCAATATTCTTCTGTGTCTTTTAACATGTTCCCTCTACTGAGACATTGCTTCCTGTCTGACTAGTGAACCACTCTTTATCCTTCAAAACATTGTCCTCTTTTCTAGAAAGCCATTTTGAGTGTTCTAGGCACAATGTCTTACCTCTGGGATCCTTACGTATTTTATACAATAACATGTTGCAACTCTTTTGTTTTTATGTCCATGTTCTATACTAGTCTCTGAGCCCTTCAATGACACTGTGGTAGTTTTTCAGCAATAACTATTAGTAGGTGCTCAGTAAGTATTTACAGAATTAATGATTTGGATGTCCCATACACTGAATTGTGATCCCTGAAAATTTAGCTATGTGGCATTGAGGGTGGAAAGAACTTGATAATACCATTTTCATCTGTTGTTTTCTACTCTAATAAAAGAACTGCAAAATTTGAGATTTCAAGGAGATAGATATGATCACTCAGCTTGAATCCAGAGGGGACGATTTATAGGAACCTGCTTCAGTGAATGTGGATCTGCATATATTCTGGGAGCTGTAAAGGACATGCTTTTACCCCTCCTTGACTGGTTCTTGTCAAGAATTCTAGTAGTTCTTCTGCTCTAGGAGTCACTTTTGGGTCAATCAGAGATTATATTCCTGGGGCTGGGGTTGTGGCTCAACTAGTAGAGTGCTCGCCTAGGCACTGGGTTCAATCCTCAGCACCACAAAAAAATAAAATAAAGATATTGTATCCACCTACAACTAAATTTTTTTAAAAAAGAGATCGTATTCCTTTAGAAGGATGAGTGTGATGTTAATGGAAGCATTTCTAGATGTCTACAGAGCTTGAAATTCTGAGAACCATCTGTGAACTAGATTTACCCAATAGGATGAGTAACTCTGTGGTAGAGTGGGGGACTAAAGAAGGCTCAAGAACCTCTAGCCTAAGGACATTGAACAGTGTATGGTCCCTATAGGCCTATAGGGCATGAGCTCTCAGAGACCAGAGTAGTTTGGTAGAGAATGGCTTATAGCTATGCTAGGTCTAAATTCCACAGGCATAGCAAATCTACTTGGTTTCCTTGGCTCTGAGGGACTGACCTTTCAAATGGCTTGTTGCTCTTGGGAGTTACCTCTTCAGGGAAAGCTCAGGAGACTCTGTACTTACCTGAGTAAAAATGCTCAGGATGATCTGGATGAGCATTTGGAAGTCAGGTTGTTTCTATCAGTTTATCCTGCTCCACTAGGCTCCATGCCTTTTACCAGGCATGAGAGAGTAGGTTAGGGAAGAAGTAAGTTGACAGAAAAACTGGGGTTCATTGACCTTTCCTCAGTGGTGATTAGCTGTGAAACCTTCAGGAATCTTGAACTGCCACCCTCAGACTTGGTTTTTCACTATGTTATTCTTTCCCAGAATGCACTTCTAATATCAGCTAGGCCAATGCACTTCCTATTGAACCAAGTTGCTTTATTACTCTGATACCTTGGTGAGCCTAATAGAGACTAGTAGATTAGTAGACTTTGGTTTTATGGAATTAAATTGTTATTTATGGCTCAGAGAGACTAAGAAGAAGCTAAAATGGCAGAAATATCTTTGCATTACAGTATAGCAGTTTGCAAAAGCCCTTACATGCATTAATTAATTGATTGTTCAATCTTCAATCCACCAGTGTCTATCCTTTAGTAGACATTCATATGTTTGTTTTATGAATGAACATGGGGGTTTATTGTACCTCTTTTACAGATTGGGCTACTGAGGACCAAGCAAGTGAATTGAGTTTCTTGAAATTCAAGTCTATATTTTATCAAATGTAGAGCCTTGACATCTGGGTCATTTCAGGTCAACATTTACTGAGTACCTATTAAGTGACATGTACTTGCCTATGCTTAACAATGTATTCCTTGGTTTTGAGAGATTGTAGGCTTTTGGGGGAGTCACACACATAAACACATAATTTCAACAAAATATGCTAAATGATGGTGCAGCCTGCTGCCTATGGATTGAGAACTCTGAAACCATGAGCCCCCAAATAAACTTTTCCTTCTCTACAGTTGTGCTGATCAGGTCATTTAGTCATAGCTTTGAAAAAGATGACTAAAAAGAAATTGGTACCAAGAAGTAGGTTTGCTGATGTGGCTAACTTTACCATGTGGTTCAAAAGCTATTGGAGCTTTTTGGAATTGGTTGGAGAAATTTTGAGATGTGTAGCAGTACAACCTGGAAATGCTTTATATTGTTGTAAGCAAAGTTTAATGGCTGATTCTGGTGGGAGCTCAGAATACCAGAATGACAATAGGACCGTGGCCAGTGAAGACAAGGCTCAAGAGCGTTTAGAAGAAAAGGAGGACACTATTGGTAATTGGACTAGAGGCCATTCATGTTATGTTCTGGCTGAGAAGTTGTCTTCATTTTGTCCATGTCCTGAGACTTTCTGTGAGGCTGATTTGAAAAGCGACAAACTTCTTAATGCAGCAGAAGAAATTTCTAAGCACCATAGCATTCAAGGAGTGGCATAAATATTGCTGGTGGCTTTTAGCCAAATTTATTATGATGTTCTGGAACAGAAAGCAGAGCAGAAAGATTTCAAAAACTTGGACTTGAAAGGCAGGAGTAAAATTGGGGCTAAGGAAGTTGCAGTTGTTAAAGACATTACAAAGAAATGTTAATGACTTTGCCCAGAGACAATAAAAAAAGATGGCTTGAGGGCATCTCAGGAATTGGTAAGATCATATCCATATCAGACTCGAGGAAGTAAAAGTAAAGATTCTTTTGAGAAGAGACCAGTGGGATACCCTTCTTGCACAAGGGGGCCTAGGAAGTTTTGTCAACATGCCTAGCTACCCAGACACTTAGAGGCTTCCATACCCAGGGTCCCTGGAGTCCTGGCTATAGCTCCAGATGGCGGCCAATCTTGGCATCATGCTGGTTCTGCAGGAATGCAAGATACTGGAATTAGGCATCATGGAGGCTTCCACCAAGATTTCAAAGGAAGGCCAGGGACACCAGGAAAAGTGTAGCAGGATCAGAGTCCCTGTGGGCACCCACTGAGAGGATGATGCATGGAGATGTGAGGAGGAAGCTGAAGCTGAGTTGGAGACCCCAAAGATTAAGAAATGCTAGTACTGTGGAAAGTCTGCTGAGGAAGGCTGCAGAAATTGAGCTGAGACAAGGCAACAAAAAGTCCATTTGTGCTGCAACCAACAAGACCACAGGGGCAGAGCTACACAAACCCTTTGGACAGAACATCATCATGCCATGTGCCCCAGATGCGGGAAGTGGAGCTACAGGACTTGTTTGCCCAGCTGGATTTCAGTCTTACATTGGTTCTATCCCTTATTTCTATACCCTATTTTTTGAGTGGAAATGTTTACTCTGTACCATTATATATTGGATACTTATAATCACTTTTGATTTTTATAAGCTCTGACAACTTGAGCTTGCCCTAAGTCTCAGAGAAGTCTTTGAACTTAAACTTTTGGGCAATCTTGAACTGTTGAGATTATGGGGACTCTTGGAAATGGACAAAATGTATTTAGCATTGTGAGATGAGTGTGAGCTTTTGGGGGCCAGGGACAGAATGTTATGGATGTGAGTTATCCCCCAAAGCTCACATGTAAGACAATGCAAAAAGATTCAGAGAGGAAATGATTGGGTTTTGAGAGTCTTAACACAATCAGCGAATCAATCACCTGATGGGATTAATTAAGTAGTAACTGAAGGCAGGTAGGGTATGGCTGGAGGAGGTGGAGTATTGGCGGTATGGCTTTTGGGTATATATTTTGTATCTGGAGGGTGGAGTCAGTCTTTCTCTCTCTCTCTCTCTCTCTCTCTCTCTCTCTCTCTCTCTCTCTCTCTCTCTCTCCCCCTCCCTCCCTCCCCTCCCTCTCCCTCTCCCTCTCCCTCCCTTCCTCCCTCCCTCCTTCCCTCTCCCTCTCCATTTTTTTCCCTCCCTCCCTCTTTCTCCCTGTCTCTCCCTGCTGCCTGATCTTCATGTGAGCTGCTTCCCTCCAGCACACTCTTCTGCCATGATGTTCAGCCTCACCTCCAGCCCCGAGGAATGGAGCCTGCTGTTGATGGATTGAGACCTCTGAAACCGTGAGCCCAAATAAATTTTCCTTCTCTATGATTGTTCGTGTCAAGTCTTTTAATCCCAGCAATGAAAAGGCTGAATAAAATATATGGCAGGTTAAAGAACTCTATACAGTGATATGGGATCACAGAGGAGGGGTGCCTGATGTAGTCTAATGAGGTCACAAATGACTTCCTGAAGAAATAACAACTCAGTTAAGTTTTGAAGTTTCAGTGAAGGTTGGTCATGGGTAGAGAAAATATTCTAGGCTAAGAGGTCAGCATTAGTGGAGGAACAGAAGTGTGAATCAACATGGTATATTTCTAGAATTGCTAAAGCATTATTTGCCAAGGTGAAAATATCATGAATGATGACTGGAGACAATTCAGATCACTGAGGATATAAACTTTGCCTTATATATCCTTAGTTCCAGAACATTACTGAATCATTCAAATCACACAAGGACCTTCAACATTTTCTTAATCAGCTAAGCCTGATAATCACATCTGGAGGCAATAGGAAGCCATTGGAAGATTGATAACAAAGGTTGGAAATAGGTTGCCATATTGGATTATTCTGATGGTAATCTACATAGAGGTGGGTATGTTTGAGAGGAATGCTACTGAAGGTAGAGAAACCATTTAGGAAGTTGTTCAATATATCTTGAGATGCAGTTAGACTAAATAAGGCAATAAATCAGTGAGGATGGAAAGTAAGAGGTGGATGCAAAGATATTGCAAAGCAATGAAATCCTTATGATGCTGTGGGTAAGGTCAGTAAATGAGATAAGTGTCTACAATAATTCTCAAGGTTTCTGGTATGGCTACCTGAATAGAGGGTAGTACTTCTAACCAAGATCAGGATAATGGCAAACAAGAGATAAATTATCTTGGAGCCTTCAGAATTTAAGGTGTTGTGGGACATACAGGTGGGACAGTGCCTCTTTTCTTTCAGAAGTCTAGAAAGTGTGTGGGCTGGAAACACAGGTGTGAGTTCCTCTGTATGGCAGTTTAAACCCACAGAATAACAGAGATCTCTCAGGTAGGGTAAGTAGAGAAAGAAACTTCAGTTATTTTACCCTTTTCCACCTTCAAGGACTGTTCTCCAGGAGAAGAAGCAACATTTTTTCTTCCTCCTTCCTCCCTCCCTCCCTTCCCCCCCCTCTGAGGCAAGGTGGGGTAGTGAAAATAGCATAAAAGGTAGAGTTAGAGAACTTGGCTCCAGCTTTACCCTTGCCTCTTACTACTAACCAACTCTAAGCAGTTTCTGTGCCTCTCTCAGCCTCTGTGTTTTTATCCATAAAGCAAACATAGCAAAAATAACTGCTTCATAGGATTAGTGAGATGGTCCAATGAGAACATGTATGTGAAAAGTGCCACATAAATAACCATAGAAACACTGTAGGTTTTTTCCTCAAGAAACTTGGACCAATCTGTAAGAATTACAGGGAGACAGAATTTGGCCCAATGAAGAAAAGACTATCAAAAAAAAAAAAAAAAAAAAAAAAGAAAAGACTATCTAATGCTTGGTTGTTGGATGATCAGGAAGAGGATTTAGATATGGGATGATCTGAGGCTCTGCAGGTCTCTAACCAGAAGCTGGGTTACTGGGGGTTTTCTGCTAGGGGTTGGTTCACACTGCATGACCTCCAAGCTCCCATTCATGGCTCAGATAGCATTTGAGTTACTAGGATACTTCTTTACCCATTTTCTGAAATTGTTTACTTCAATAAGATTTTTATTAATTGTAGAAGTAATAGAGATACATGTAGTTTTTCTTTTAAATTTCTTAAAACACTGGACATTTTAGTTCCTAATTAGAGAGTTGATTTTTAAACCCACAATAATGGGGCAAATGCTTCAAGTCTTACTACATCAAGTATTTATAGACATTTTCTAAAGGCTCTTAAATGAAGATGCAGTGGATGTGCAAATGGGAGAGTCTGTGGAATGCAGTTAGGCCTCTAACAGACAAATGGAAGAGATGGTCATTCTGTTGTTATAACAATGCTGAATTATAGATTATTTTAAAATAATCATTTTTATTATTTTAAGCAGAAATGATATTATAAGCAGCTAACAAAATATTGCCAAGCAGAGATTTTGATTGATGTTTCAAATGAGTAGGAGAATACCATTTGAAATCAGCACTCTAATTATTTATATGCAAATGAATGTTAGCTTGGAAAGTTTGTTCTCTGAACTGGGTTAAACATCCCCTAGGAGCTCATGTTTATACTCTTAATTTACTCAAAAAAATATTGTTGCTGTTGTTTTAACAGACTGAAGAAAAGTAAAATTCGCCAGCCCATGATTGAATTATCACAAATTTTAAAATGGTATGGATTGAATTATATTTTTCTCTATTTATTTAAATGCCAGTTATTGTCTATACTCCTTTGCTAAATGAGGCTGAATTTTCTTACTTCTCTATTCAGAGATTATTTCTCTAAATGAAATATCTCCACTCATGTCATTGATGAGGAATTATCTTTAAGATTATTGAGGTGACTTATTGGCTCTTTTTAAAAATCATAACAATTTCCCCTATTAATAGTAATTTCATTCCTTGAAAATATTCTACTGGGGAAAATTTACTGTAAACAATATAGAGGTGAACAATTTTGAAAAGGTAAGATAAGAAAATGCATTTCATTCCTGATTTTGGGTGGAACCTAATTTCATTTTTCTGATGATTTAGTAGGCCCTTCAAGACCTTTGCAAGACCTGTTCAATATTTGATTATCTTTTCCCACTGAACTGTATCTCTGACAAGGAGTAGTTGATAGAAACTTCTAGTTGATATTTTTCTTTTAATACACTCTACTCTCATGTATATGTTTTTATTTTTTAAATTTTATTTATTTATTAGGTGTAGATGGACACAACACCTTTATTTATTTTAGAGAGAGAGAGAGAATTTTAATATTTATTTTTTAGTTTTTTGGCGATACAACATCTTTGTTTGTATGTGGTGCTGAGGATCGAACCCGGGCCGCACGCATGCCAGGCAAGCGTGCTACCGCTTGAGCCACATTCCCAGCCCTCTAGTTGATATTTTGAAAGAGTAAAAATGTCAGCCTGCTCTTACTTCCCCCACCTCACTTGTTATCCCTGGTCCTTATCCACAGGAACTGATGTACCAAGAGAGAGGGGATATTCTGGCTGCAGCCTGGATTTTGAATCCTGGAATTATTGAGCAAAGTGGGGCAGAAGTAGCATGGAAGATTCAAGGACAGGAACTATTGAGAGAAAAAGTTGGGAGGGAGTAAGAAAGAGCAAGAATCTATGAAGAAACCAAAGGGAGAAGCTTAGGAGTGTTATATCTTGACCCAAATCACAGGAAATTGTGTCAGGGTTAGGGATAACAGATACAAGGAACAATGGGGCATAGTTCAAGTTTAAGGCTACCCAACCCTGCTTAGATCATGAAATACAACCTCTTTCTGGGCTTCTCAGTGTCTCTGTTAATGCAGCAAGTGGCTAAGCTTTGATCTGGCCCACAGGGAGGTTGAGAAACTCAGTCTGTCCCATAAAAGCCTTGAAGTGTTTGTTAACTTATAACCTCACACATCTTCTTATATTAGCAAATTACTCTATAAAACTCATTGCCTGGACGTTTTCTAGCAGCATGATTCTTGGGGTGATAGAGTATGCTAGAAAAGAGCCCTGCCTGGGAGTGGGGTGAGTAAGAAGCTTGGGTGTTAGTAAGTGCCCTGCCACATATTGGCATTGAAATATTAGAACCTCCATTTCTTTACATATAAGATATCCTAGAGGCACCAATATATAGTACACTCATCAGTTGTGAGTTCTAAGCATAAAAATAATTCTGTGACCTTGGATATTTGATTTGTTTATCCTGAGACAAATAAATATACCCTAAGCAATATATTTGAGTGGAACCTAAAAGAACTCTGAGAGTCAAAATCAAATATAAATAGTCAAATCCTTTCCCTAGCTTGTTTATCAGAGCCAAGGGTGTTGGAGATGCTCAAATTTTTAGCATTTGAGGAAATGGCAGGAAGCAAACTGAACAGGTTTGAACAGTTGTGCTCCTGAGCCTCTGCAGATGTGATAGCTTGCACGCTGGTATTAGACCAGAGGTTTGCTATGTTCCTGGGACTCTGATGAAGCAGATAGACCCCTTGTGATGCATGCACCACCAACAAGCAGGAAACCTTTTGTCTTTTGCCAAAATCACATATGGCTCATTTGCTGAGGGCTCCAATAAGATTAAGTACCTCTTCTGAACAGCCCATCCTGTTGGTTCTGTCAATGTGGGACAAAAGACATAAGGGCTTCAATTGGACTTTAAAATGTTCATTTTAAAAAAGCTTTTAATTATAAACATATAACCTTAATATAAAAATTACTATAAGTAGGCTACTCATTTCTAAATAGTTTAATAAACAAGAAACTAAAAAAAAAATAGCTGATAAGGGCTGGTGAGTTCATTTGCATGGTGTCCAACACTCAAGTTGTAATACTACAACACTACAGTTTTCAGCCAAGTTACAAGCACAACAAATTAACACAATTTGTTAATTTCCTTTTTAATTGCACTACAAACAGTAGTACTTCTGTCTTTTGGCTTCTTGACACCAGGATTCATCTTAAAAGCAGAAAGACTATAATATAGCTCAATTTATGTCTATAACAAATAAAGCTTGTTTTAATTTTCCTCACCCAGTTAGCCAAGATTTGGA